GAACGTTAATAATATTGAATTTGTATTGCAGATTATGTGGCATTTGTAGGGAGATCGAATGGCAGGGAATTGGAAGCGACCGTCACGGGGTAGAATTAACCGGAAATGGCGATAGGACTAACTACATTCGTGAGCACTACCTCTGTCCTCGGATTCAGCCTGATTCCCCTATTAGCGATCGCGTTGACCGTGTTTCGGTACAATCAAGCGGACCCAGAATCTCACCCGACAAACGCGGCCCAGGTTCGACAAGTTTTAATTCACGTGCAGAAACTATTTTTATTATTAAATTAGTTCTTTTCCTAAATATAATTATTTGCAATATCTTATACTCGTCAAAATTGAAACCAACGATGAGTGCGACTATAAACTCCCAAATGTTCCTCAAGTATTACATTTTTTTTTGAAAAAATTGACATAAATCTTCATTTTCAGCTGCTGCGCATGTACGATTTCATAGTGATCGGCGGAGGAAGCGCGGGTGCAGTGGTCGCGTCGAGATTGTCGGAGGTCGCAAACTGGACGGTGTTACTTTTGGAAGCAGGAGGGGACGAGAATGAAATTTCGGACGTACCGTTACTTGCCGGGTATACTCAGTTATCGGATCTCGACTGGAAATACCAAACTACGCCGCCGTCCGCTTCGGCCTACTGTCTCGCGATGACCGGCGACAGGTGCAACTGGCCACGAGGGAAGGTGCTCGGTGGCAGCAGCGTGCTGAACGCCATGATCTATGTCCGTGGTAATCGGTAATTCAGCATCGATCGAATCTTTCGTTCAATCATTTTTTTATCAAATATCCGAAAAATTCATCGAGACGTCTCTCAACTACTGTGCAAAACTATCATTTATTTTCTTTCAATTTTTCTATAAATACATTCAATTCTACTCCGAGGTTTCATACATTTATAAAAAATAATCTAGATAAGGCAAGAAGTCTTGCTTTTATACGACTTTAAAATTGGACAATATTTCCAGGCACGATTACGACAACTGGGCGAGACTGGGGAACGTCGGTTGGAGTTACGACGAAGTTCTCCCATATTTCCTCAAGTCTGAGGACAACCGCAACCCGTACTTAGCTAGAACGCCTTATCACGGCACCGACGGTTATTTGACTGTCCAAGAGGCGCCGTGGCGGACGCCGTTATCGATCGCGTTCCTGCAAGCGGGCCAGGAGCTCGGTTACGAGACCCGCGACATAAACGGTGCGAATCAGACCGGTTTCATGTTGCCACAGTTCACCATTCGTCGTGGCAGCCGTTGCTCCACAGCGAAGGCGTTCCTGAGGCCGGTGAGGAACAGAGAGAACTTGCACATAGCGATGCAAGCACAAGCATTGCGGGTGCTGTTCAACGGGGACAAAAGAGCGACGGGCGTGGAGATCCTCAGGGACGGTCATCGGCAAGTGATAAGAGTCAGACGGGAGGTCGTGTTATCAGCCGGTGCGATCAATTCGCCCCAACTGTTGATGCTGTCTGGCATCGGACCCGCGGAACACTTAGCTGAATTCGGTATACCGGTTTTATCCGATTTGAGAGTCGGTGACAATCTTCAGGACCACGTAGGCCTTGGTGGGTTCACGTTTATAGTGAACGAACCGTTCAGTATTAGAAAGGATCGATTTCAAACGTTTTCCGTGATGATGGAATACATTCTACGCGAGAAAGGGCCGATGACCACCCCGGGGGTCGAAGGCCTGGCCTTCGTCAATACCAAATACGCTGACAAATCGATCGATTTCCCGGATGTTCAATTTCACTTCGCCCCGAGTTCGGTCAGTTCCGACGATGGTCAAATTCAGAAGATCACCGGTCTACGAGACAGCGTGTACAACACTATGTACAAGCCGTTGAATCAGGCAGAAACCTGGAGCATTCTACCACTGTTACTGAGACCCAGAAGTTCTGGTTGGGTGCGTTTGAAGAGTAAAAACCCGCTCGCGTACCCGGATATCAATCCGAACTACTTTACGCACAAGGAGGACGTGGACGTTCTCGTGGAGGGTATCAAAATCGCGTTGGCACTGTCGAACACGACTGCGTTCCAAAGATTCGGTTCTAGACCGCATACTATTCGCATGCCGGGTTGTCAGAGATACCCGTTTGATACCTACGATTATTGGGAGTGCGCGATTCGACATTTTACTTTTACCATTTACCATCCCACCGGGACGTGTAAAATGGGACCAAAGAGCGACCCGACGGCGGTCGTCGATCCGCGGTTGAGGGTGCGTGGGGTGAAGGGGTTGAGGGTCGCGGACGCGTCGATCATGCCAGTGATAGTCAGTGGAAACCCGAACGCTCCTACCATAATGATCGGTGAAAAAGCGAGCGACATGATCAAAGAAGACTGGATGTACAGGAAGAGACGATACGTGGGAAGATGACGAGAAATTAATAGAATATTTTAATATAATTAACGCTTTGACTGCCAAA